GTCCCTCGTCCCTACCAAGCATGATGTCCCTCTCCAAGGATCGGTCCCTCCTCACAACATGTCCAAAGTATGTTAGATGGAGCCTCAGAATACTTGCCTCCAAGGAGCAGCTCGGTTTGACCCTTTCCAGGATGAATCTGTTTGTTTTCCTAGCCTTCCATGGTACTCTCAATACTCTTCTTCAGCACCACAACTCAAAGGCATCAATTCTCCTTCTATCCTCCTCAGTCACTGTCCAACTCTGATGCATAACAAAAAAAGGTGATAGCAAAGGCCATGGCCTGTATCAGATGCACCTTAGTCTCCAAAGAGACACCATTGCTCTTCAGTACTTTGGAGAGGTCCATAACAGCAGACTTTCCCATGGCAATCTACCTTTTAATTTCCTGGCTACTGGTGCCGAGCAAACTGAAGCTGTGCACAATCTCAATCTCTTCACCATCCATCCTGATGCTGCCAATTGGTCCAGTGGTGAGAATCTTTGTCTTCTTGACTGTGAGCCTCAATCCATATTGGAGCCTGCAGTCCTTGACCCTCAGCAGCAAGCACTTCAGGTCCTCCTCAGTTTCAGTAAGCAGGGTTGTTTCATCTGCATATCACAGATTGTTGATAGATCTTCCACCAATCCTGACACCACACTTCTCCTTATCAAGCCCATCCTCCCAGATAATCTGTTCTGCATACAAGTTGAAAAGGTATGGAGATAGGACACACCCCTGGCGAAAGCCCTTCCCAATCTTGAACCATGCAGTGTTTCCTTGCTCTGTTCTGATGACACAATTTTGCCTGCTAAAAGCAAAAAGGATTTGGGGCTCTTGTTGCATAAATGGAAGCCTACACCCTTCAAAATGGATTATATCTCAACAGCAAGAAAACAAAAATCATTACTGCTGTGCCAATAGGCAACATCATGATAGATGGACAAAAGATCAAAACAGTCAATGATTTAATCTTATTTGATCCACAATTAACATCCTTTATACTAGCAGTCGGGAGATCTGGAGGCACATAGCATTGGGAAAAGTCTGCTATCAGGGACCTCTATGAAGTTTTAAAGAGGAATAGTATTAGTTTAAAAACTAAGGTGTGCCTGATCCAAGTCCTATTTTTTCTAATCATCTGCTGTGTATCTGATAGTTGGACAATGAATAAGGAGAAAAGAAGAAGTGTTAAGAGTTGAAGTGTTAAGGAAAAGTTAGCTTGCCATGTTGTTATGTACCATTGAGTCACCTGCGACTCATAGCGACCTTATGTACAATAGCTCTGAACCCTGTCCTAATCCGAAGTCAAACTCATTGTCTCCGACAGACAACCCCATTACTCCAGTCACTGAGACAATCCATTTTAATCTGGATCTTCCTCTCCTACACTGTCCCCCTACCTTTCCAAGCATGTTGTCATTCTCTAAGGACTGGTCCCTTCTTGGCCATGTGCTCCACGTATGTGAGACGGAGTTTCAAAATCCTTGCTGCCATGGAGGAGCTTGGTTTCACCCTCTCCAAGAAAAGACCTATTTGTTCTCCTGGTAGTCCACGGGATGGTCAATACTATTCTCCAGCACTACAATTCAAAGCAATTGATCCTTCTATCATCCTTAGTCATTGCCATGGATGGCCAAAAGAACAAACAGATAGGTCTAGGAAAAAGAGCACCCAGAGTGCTCCTTGATGGCAAGGATGGTGAAGTTTTGTCTCACATTATTTGGGCATGTTGCTAGGAGAGGTTACACCTTGGAGGGGCATTATTCCTTCAAGGTTATTCCTTCGAGAGGTTAGTTCTTAGAAAGGTGGAGGGTCAGCAAAAGCAAGGAAGACCCTCAACTAGATGAATTGACACAATCACTGTTACAATGAATTCTAGTTTGTCAGGCACTCTGAGGATGGCACAGGATAGGACAGGGTTCAGATCTGTTTTTCACAGGGTTACTATGGTACTACTGTACTTGACTCGACAGCACCTAACAAGAGTAGAAATTGATGAAAAGCATAAAACTGGCGGGGAACCCAAAGAAATCAAATGTGGGTTTTTTCTTTCTTTCTAATCAGTGAAGTTAAGTAACTCTAGAGATCCTGAGTAGGAAAAACCCAAAAAGGGCATAAATTACCCCTATCAGAAATTAGAGCCATCACTGTACGCTATCAATATTAAAAGCTAAATAAAAATTTAGAGACTTATAACAACTACTGAGTTTCCTCTGACTCATTGCAATCCTATGAAATATATCTTGTAAATGAAATATTAATCATGTAAGTTTGATATGAGTACTTCTTTAGCAATTTGTTATAATGTGCCACTGAGTCTCCTGTGATTCATAGCGACCCTATGTACAATAACATAGCCTGTCTCATTGACTTCAACATACCTACCCTTGTTACCCTAGTTACTATATCAATCCATCTCATCATCCTATCCTATGGTGTTCTTCCACCATTCCAAGCATGATGTCTTTAACCAAGGATTGGTCCTTCTTGCCCATGGGCCCAAAGTATGTGCGATGAAGCTGCAAAACCCTTGACTTGGATTCACCCTATCTAATAACCTGCTTGTTCTCTTGGCAGTCCACGGTACATTCAATACGCATTTCCAGGCACTACAACTCAAAGATACAGATTCTTCTTTTGTCATTCTTAGTCACTGTTCCAGCTCTCTGATGCATAGCAAGTAACTGTGAAGACCAAGACCTGGATCAGGCACACCTTAGTCTCTAGACTGAAATGATTACTCTTTAGCACTTTGGAGAGGTTACTGACAGCAGACTTACCCAATGCAATTCATCTTTTGATTTCCTGACTGCTGGTGTCAAGAGTGTTGATTGTGAAGCCAAGCAAGATGAAACTGTTAATAGTAAGCTCTTTTCCATCCATCATGGTGCTGTCAACTGGCCCAGTGGTGAAAATCATTGTCTTTTTAATATCGAGAGTCATTCCCTATTCAAGACTATAGCCCTTGACTTTCTGTGGCAAACATTTCAGGTACTTCTAAGTTTTGGCAAGGAAGGTTGTATCATCTATACAAGGCAGGCTGCTGATGAGTTTTCCTCCAATCCTGATGCCATTTTTCTCCTCATAAAGTCCAGCCTCCCAAATGATCTGTTCCACATATAGAATAAAAAGTTATAGGAATAGGACATATCCCTAATGCACTCCTTTCCCCATTTCAGTGTTTCCTTGCTCTATTCTGAGGACTGCTTCCAGGTCTAAGTATAGGTTTTACATAAGCAAAATCAAGTGTTCCTTGAGTACTTTAGAGAGGTCCCAACAGCAGACTTTTCCATCGCAATATGTTTTTTGATTTTCTGGCTGCTGGTGCCAAGAGTGTTGACCATGGAGCCAAGCAAACGGAAGCTGTGAACAATCTAAATCTCTTCACCGTCCATCTTGATGCTACCAATTGGTCCAGTGGTGAGAATCTTTGTCTTCTTGACATTGAGCCTCAACCCATACTGGAGGCTGCAGTCCTTGACCCTCTTCAGCAAGCAGAGTTGTGTCATCTGCATAACGTAGACTGTTAATAGATCTTCCACCAATCCTGATGCCACACTTCTCCTCATAGAGCCCATCCTCTCGGATAATCTGCTCTGCATACAGGTTGAAAAAGTATGGAGATAGGACACATCCCTGGTGGATGCCCTTCCCAATTTTAAACCATGCAGTGTTACCCTGCTCTGTTCTGACGACTGCCTCTTGGTCCAAGTATAGGCTTCGCATTAGCACGATTAAATGTTCTGGGATTCCAGTTCTTCTCAGAGTCAGCCATAGTTTGTTATGATCCACACAGTCAAACGCCTTTGCATAATCAATGAAACACAGATAGACATTCTTCTGGTATTCCCTGCTTTCAGCCAAGATCCATCTAACATCAGCTACAATATCCCTAGTACCACGACCCCTTCTAAACCCAGCCTGGACTTCTGGCAGTTCTCTGCTGATGTGCTGTTCTAGCCGTTTTTGAATAATATTCAGCAGAATCTTGCTTGCATGTGAAATCAACGATATTGTTCTTGAGTTTCCACACTCTGTTGGGTCACCCTTCTTTGGAATGGGAACAAATATAGATGTCTTCCAGTCAGTTGGCCAAGTGGTTGTTCTCCAGATTTCTTGGCACAACTTGGTGAGCACATCCAGGGAAGCATCTGTTAGCTGAAATATGTCAACTGGTATACCATCTATTCCTGGGGCCTTATTGTTTGCTATCTCCTTCAAAGCAGCTTGAACTTCTTCCTTCATAACCATAGGCTCTTGCTCAAATATTATTTCATTAAATTCTTCCGTATCTGCCAATTCCTGTCGATACAATGACTCGGTATACGGACTACTTGCTCACCAAAGTCCTAAAATAACTTGGTGGCTAAAGATTATTCATATTAATACTAATAAATTTTAATGATAATTAAATAATTAAGCATATCTATTCTGTCTTCCTTTATGTATTTAAAATGAGGCAAAATAAGTTAAATAAAAACATTTAAAAATATAAATTTTATATTTTAAAAATATATATTTTTCCCCCACACACACAGGAAGACTATTCATTGTGGCCCCAAACTGGAAAATACACAAATGTCCAACAATGATAAACTGGGATATATTTATAATTTGGCTATTATGTAACAAGAAAATAAATAATATACAGCTAAATACAAAATACAATAATAATGTATAAATCTCACAAAAAGACATTAACTATTAGAAGCCAAATACAAAAGAATACACAATGGGATAATTCTATTTAGCTGAACTCCAAAAACTAAGAAAAATCAGTTGATAATGTTAGAAGTTAGGAGAGCTGTTACCTCTATGGAGGAAGAGAAAGGGTGTACTGGGTAGAGGCATGAGGAAGGTTTTGACAATGCTTTATTTCTTGGTCCTGGCAATAGTTAAGTCAGTCAACTTTTTGACCATTTACTGAGCTGAACATCTTCATTTTGTATACTTTCCTGTATGTATTTTACGGAATTAAAAGAAGTTTGACCTTATTATTATTATATTATTATAAATTACCTGTTTTCTCTGTGTTCTGCTCCTGTTTTCCAGCCAATCATCCATTTGTTCTTCAATTTCTTCTATAGATGTTCCATGATCATAAGATTCAATATATGTACTCTCTAAAGGTGTGTATACAGGAAATTCAGGTTTTGGCTTTTTTACTTTCACTTTCTTCTGTTCTATAAAATATTTAGAAGAACAACTTATTGAGATAAAAAAAATTTCTAACAACTGATTCATAGACCATAACTTGAAAGGACACATGTTCTTTCATCAAAATAGAATTACTTTGCTCTAAATAAGTGTTACTACACATTTAATTTTAATTTACACTGTGCAAATAAAACTCTAGAGAAACTGATGATGATGATTATAATGCAACCACTATATCAATTTCTATACATCTTTAATTTTCAAAGTACTTTTCAGCAAATATTTCATTTTGGTACTATTGAAAAAATTTGGCATGCAGTGTTAAACCTACCTTTAAAACTTAATAGCTATATAATCTTACGAAAGTAACTTTACTATGACTAGAGATCTCATAAAACTTATTGCTGGCAGAATAAGTGTATCCCTACACCCTAGAGGAAATACAATATTACCATTAAAAAAATTGACATAAGAGTATGTATTAAAATGTAAATGACATATAACCTTTCCTCTAGCAATTTCCTCAAAAATAAAAACACTAAAATTTAATTGAGTACATATAAAAATACATGGGCACGCGTGGGTGTATATGACCATTTACTATTTCTTCAATGACACATATAACTACTTGCACAATTAATGTTTCTTAGAAGAAGAAATGACTAAGGAGGTATTGATGACACAAAGCTACCAAAAATATCAAATATTCATGATAAGACCCTGAAGTAAACTTGTATTAGCTGACTTATAAAGATTTTTATGAGTTAGAGAACCAAAAGTAAGACAGAAAAGTATGCAAGATTCTATGTTCATAAAAGAAAATCCTTCTATAAATCTCTACACATGGATAAACAACAAGCAGACTTGTGGCAAGACAGATGAAGAAAAAAGGGAGTATAGAGATACAACCAAAAAAAAGAGGAAGGACTACAATACAGATAACACTGAAATATTTTCAATTAAGTTATAACTATAAAAATGTTATGACAATAAAGGACATAAATCAGTATGAAATATAGTATTTCTGAAACCAATGATTATATTCACTAAATTATGTGCTACCTTAAGACAGGACTAAAATACTTAGCAAAAATCTTATCTATATAAAACCTACCTTTTAAAACAGTAAATGCCTCTAATTTAATTAAATGCATGTTGTTCTTGATGGCCATCGAGTTGAGCATGACTCATAGAAACCTTATGGAAAAAAAAAGGCCTGAAACCTTTCTATAATTATCGACATTTATCTTAGTTCATAGAGTTTCCAGAGGCACACTGCTTAGGAGGTGGATGCCACTCCTGCTTCCAAACCTGTCTTAACCTGGGAACTCCAGCAAAGTCTGTCCATCATGGGTAATCTTTATGGCATGTGACACACCAATGGCATAAGTGACTAAAAAGATTTCAATTCTTCATTTCTCCCGTTTTCTAGTTTTAATAAAAACTATATAATTAGTATCTCCATTGGTATCATAAATTTTAGTGTCATGAACACATCATTTTAAGTGAATTAAACAAAAAACAAATGAAGAGTTTTGAGTGTGTGTGTTTAGCATTATTGTTGTTATGTGCCATCGAGTCGTTTGCGACTCATAGAGACCCTATGTACAACAGCCCTAAACCCTGCTCTATCTTGTGCCAATCCCACTGCCTCTGACAGACCCATCCCGATTACCCCAGTTACTGAATCAATCCACTTCATAGAGGGTCTTCCCCTCCTGCGCTGTCTCTCTACCCTCTCAAGCATGATGTCCCTCTCCTTATAACATTTCCAAAGTATGTCAGATGAAGCCCCAGAGCCCTTGCTTCCAAGGAGGAGCCCGGTTTAACCCTCTCCAGGATGAATCTGTTTGTTTTCGTGGCAGTCCATGGTACATTCAATACTCTTCTCCAGCACCACAGCTCAAAGGCATCAATTC